CCCCCCCCCCCCCCTCCCCCTGCCGACCCTCCACACGCATCTTTGCGCCACTGTAAGGCAGCACACCAGCTAAATGACGCACACATATCCGACCAGCGCCCCGCCATGCCTGCGGACCCGGCTTTGGCCCCTTCCTGCGCCCCCTTGTGTCCTTCTCTCGATGGACGGAGCGTGACATTGAGAACGTGTGTGCGCGCGTTTCTCGAGGGGCGAGTGGCACAGGCGAGGGGGAGGAAAAAGATCACCCCCTCTCCTCCCCGAGGCTGATGCACAGCGGAGAGGGCGGGAAGGAAGGACGGAGGGCGCACTCGCCGGCCGGCCGGCCGGATCACATGGTCGCCGCTCGCCTGGCCGAGGGGGCCCGCCCGGCGAAGAGGAGGGAGGCAATCTCACCACGCCTGGCCGGCCTTCCAGTGCTGAGGGGGCTGGACGATGGTCGGCCCGGGCGGCGGGGCCGGCACGCTCTCATCGAGCGGGTCGAAGTTCAGCCACACTTGGTTGCCCGCGGCCAGGTCGGCCAGGCTGGCATTCTCCCAGCCAACCGACGGCCGCCAGAAGGAGTATCCCTCCGGGCAGGCAAGCCGGGCCGATTCATAGTCCCCCTCGGCCGAGGTGAGGACCCACACCGGGCGATCGGACGAGCCATGGGCGGAGGTCACCGGGCCGGGGGGAGACGCGGCCGGGATGATCCCGGAGCGCAGTCCGGGCACCCGGTCCACCGAGGGCAGGTCATCCTGCGGCCAGGGGAGGATGTGCATTTCGCCCTCCTCCGGCTGGTGGTGCCGGCGGGCGGCGGTGCCGGCGCGGGCCGCCGCCGCATGGCGCTTCGGGCGGCCGATCGTGCCGCCCTCCTCCGAGTGGATGGCCAGCTCCGGGGCCAGGGCGCCGAAGAGGGAGTGCAGCTGCTGGCGCAGGCGCAGCTCGCTGGGTCCGCGCACGGCAGCATCCAGGCGCGTGTTCCCGGCTCCGAGGATGTGGGCCACGGGGATGACGAAGTCCGGCTGGTCCGGGATCAGGTCCACCCGCATGCAGGCCCCGCGCAGGGGCGTGTCGCAGGGCTCCCGGGTCCACCGGCCGGCCGTGTTCATGGCCGTGCAAAGAGGCACCCGGCGGCCGGCGCCGGGGCGCACCCCGCCGGCCGTGGCGGTCTTGTTGAAGTGAACGTCTGTGCGCATGGGCGGGCGATTTCCATTCGTTGCCGTCCCCGCCCCCCCCCCCCCCCCCGCCCCGCGCGCGGCCGACACAGCCGGAAGACGAAAGCCAATGGTTGTGTGAGTAAGGGCAGCCCGTCGTCGTCATCGTCGTCGATGGCAGGGACCCCCCCCCCTGCGGCGACCAGGCAAGGGCGCCGATCAAATCCCCCACAGGGGGACCTATTCCGGGCACTTCCCCCCGCCCTCGCAGCCCCCTGTGAAGGAGCGCCCCCGGGGCAGACGCAAAGGAGGCCGGCCCGGGAAAGGACATACCTGACGGCTGGTTCAGGTCCCACGACCAAACAAGCGCCTCGGTGGTGACCCGCGGGTGGACTTGGTCCAGAGCCTGGCGCGTGACCGAGCACTGGGCCATCTCCCGAATCAGGCTCGGGGGATACTGCTGGCGCGAGTCCCAGAAGAAGGCCGGCCCCAGGACGATGGAGCCATCCAGGGCCCGGGTTTGCGAGTGGCTGGTGGTCGGGTCGCGCCAGCCCAGCCGGCAATGGGGCCACGGCCGGAAGTGGCGCGGGGTGAATTGGTTGCCGAACCACAGCGGCGGGATGAACATCAGCTCCGACAGGGTGGTCGTGATGCCGAGGTAGGGCATGGCCTCGAGGACCAGGCGCTTGCCCATGGCGGCCAGCTGGCGCGAAGTGGGCCACAGGTCGCTGCAGAAGGCCCGCTGCTCGGTGGTCAGCGGGTGCATGGCCGGGCGGCCGGGGGCCGGGCCGGCGGTGATGATCGCGCGCCCGGCCGTGTCGACCGCCAGCCGGTCGGCCATGCGAGCGACATCGTACTCGGCAAAGCACAGGGCGGCCACCGTGCCGCCGACGCGCTCGCGCAGGAAGTTCAGATGGTCCTCCGGGGTGTAGATGGCGCCGCGGGTGAAAATCGACTCAATCATGGCCACCAGGCGCCGGGCCAGCTGGCGCCGGCGCATGCTCCGCAGGTCCATGAAGAGCACCACGATGTCCGGCTCGGCCGGGAAGGTGGGCGGCGGGGTGGGATCGAGGCCGAGCCCCTTGGCCGAGGCCGGGCGCCGGGCCGGGCGCAGGCCGGGCGCCGTTGCCGCCGCCAGGGCCGCCTGCTGGGCCTGCCGGTGCCCGGGCGGCCGGCGGCCGGCCACCTCGCCGGGCCGGTCGTCGCCCTCGTCCGGATCCTGGTCATCGTCGTGGCCCGGCTTGTCCGGATGCTCGGGGTCCGGCCACGGCCGGGGGCTCTCCGAATCGAAGAACCCCGCGACGTCGTTCTTCAGCACGGTCTCCAGCAGGGGCTTGTCCTTGTCGCAGCCCAGGCGCTCGGGGTCCCAATTGAGCGGATACCGGCCGGACTTCTTGGCCGCGCGGTTGAGCATATACAGGAAGTCCCGCGGGCAGTGGTCCCAGTGGCAGATCCGGAAGTCCCCGTGGCGATAGTAGACATCGATCTCCAGGTGCCTGCGTGTGCACATGCGGGGCCGGCCCGAGGCGGCCAGGGGCGCGCGGCAGTGGCGCGGAGCCCGGGTGCATTCTCGAGTGAGTGTCCCATCCTCGACCGGCGTCCCCTCTCGCTGTCTCGCTCGCGCGCGCGCTCTCTCTCTCTCTCCCTCTCTCTCTTCCCTTTGGACCCCGCGCTGGTGGGATTATTTCTCTTCGGCCACATTGTGGCGGCGCATCCGCCACAGTGCGCGGCACGCGCTCTCGGGCCCGGGTGCGCCCGGGGCATGCCCTTGCCCTTCGGTCGGCTGGCCCTTGCAGCGTTGTTCTCCCAGGTCGGGTGCCCTTCCCCCCGCGCGGTCCCCCCCCCCCCCCCTGCCCCGGGGCATCCTCCTGAAGAGGGCTGTCCTCCTTGACGTACCGGAAGCCCATCTTGAGCTGGTCAATGACACTGTAGCGCTGGTTGGCGATGGTAACATGGGACTTCTCCTCGCCGTAGTATGGCATCAGGACCTTGTGAAGGCCCTCCTACGTATGGGGGGGAGGCAAGGCAGGTCAGAGCATGGGCAAGGGCAAGCGCCTGGTCGGGCATCGGCAAATGTCGGCAAATGGGCTGCCCCCGCCGCGGCCTTGTCTTTTGACGCCCGGCCTGTGGCCGGCCGAGGGGGCCGACCCCCACATTCGGGGCACCCGTCAGTGGCCGTACCTCCTCCACGCCGAAGCCATACGCCCGGGTGATGGCGGAATTGTGGGAAGTAGGCAGCTCCTTCAGCGAGAAGGGCCGATCCCACTGGAGCTTGCGCTGGGTGCGCAGGGCATACGAGGACCACTGGTCGATGGTGACGGTGCCCGGGACGCAGACCTCCGCGCAGAAGTCGCCATTGCACTGCTCATGCGCGTCGCACTGGACGGGCCCATGCTCGCGGTCGGCCAGCGTCCGCGACCGGACGATGTCCGAGCCGCCAGGCCGCGCGGCCTGCGGGGAGAAAGCCGCCCGGAGGAGGGGCGTGGTAGCGCCGGCGGCGGCCGGCTGGCGGTGAACCGCCATTCCATGGCCGGAGGCGGCCAGCGCACAAAGCGCCAGCCCGATCAGCGGCAGGACAACGCGCATCGGGTGAATGCGGCGCACGCAGGGGCACGCACACACACACACACACTTGGAGTCCGGAGGGTGGCTATGCTGTGGGGGTTGGCCACAGGGTGGGGGGGCGGGGGGGGGGGCGGGAAGAGTCGGGGCGCGAGCCTTGGTAAGAGCAGCGAGCGACCCGGACGGCAGCCTGGGGAACGGGCGCCAAGTCCAAGAGAGACGGCGGGGCGAGGGCGCGGGCGGGCAGAGGAAGGATGCAGGAGGGGCGTGCGCGGGCGTGTTTCAGGGACCGGGCGCGCAGGGGATATGGTGCTTGTGTGGGCCCCCAACATGGGGGGGGAGGGCCACTGCCACATGGTGCCCTCTATATTTATCGGCTCCTACCTGCCGAGGCCGCCGAGCCCACACACACACACACACACACACACACACGCACGCACATACACACTCGGCCGCCCCCCGCGCCGGGAGGGGACAACCCCTCGCGCGGCTGCGGGCTCACACCTGGGGACCGGCCGCGCCATGCTCCATGCGATCAAGGCCCCAGGGAGCCAGCCGAACAAGGAGGATGGCCGGGCCTCGAGGATCGGGCGACCGCGCCCCCCCCCCCCCGCCGGCGCCCTCATCCCAGAGACCCGGTAGACACCTCTTTCCAGAGCGATGGGTTGCCACTCGGCAGGACCGAGGGCCTGGTCGCGAGAGAAAGGCAGGGACGGCAGGAGGACCGGCGCAAAGTGCTTCCGCCTCTCGGGTGCCCCCTGTCCCTGGCTCCTTGCTCCGGGGTTCGTCGATCGTCGACGCCGGCACAGCCGCGAGGGTGGACCGAGATCGGCCCCGATCGCGGAACAGACCACCTGCACACGCATCCCAAGGGGCGGCGGGGGCCTGGGCGAAATAAAAATGGGAAAAAAAACAACCAAATCCCGCCATTGTGGGTAATAAAGTGGGGGCGAAAATAAATTTAACTCAACGCCCAGCCGCGTGGAGGACCGCTGGACAATGTGCCATCATGCCCATGCGCGGCTGGTCCCGTGAGCAATCACACGTCCCACGCTTCCGGCAGGCGAATGACCCCAGGGGGCGTGATCGACACCTGCAGAGCGCCAGAGCCATTCTAGCCCGGGCGGGGCTCGCGCCCGAATGACTTGCTTCCCACATTCATTCCCGATGGCATCCCCCCGGACTTTGCACACTGTTGCTTTTCTCCATCGGTCCTTCTTCTCTCTCTCTCTCTCTCTCTTTCTCTCTCTCTCTCTCTCTCTCTCTCTCTCTCTCCTTTCCAGGGTGATATTGTGTCGTGGCCATGCTTGGTCGGCACCTCCCCCGGCTCTCCAGCCGTAGGTGAGGAAGTGGGCCTCACATCGGCCGGCTCCTGTGTCCCCGTGCCGGAGGGACCCTTCTGACCCGTGGAGGATTGGATTTACCTCCCCCTCTCCTTGGCATGATGGCCCAGGGCGGTGCGGTGGCACAGGCCCTTTGCCCCCTCCACACGGCTCCCCGATTGGAGAATCGACAGGGGCCAGGCGCCTGCCTTGGCCGGCTACCCTCTTCCACCAATCCGAAGATCCACATAGCATCGCATTCCCC